AAAAAAAAAAAAAAAAAAAAAAAAAAGAAACTATAGATTTAAGACAAATCATCAACAAATTTAAAAAACAAATGATATGTAAATATGGCCAAAATCGAGGCACTTTGTGGGAAAAACAAGTGGAGGAATGCTGGTGGTTCCTTCCAGTTCAAAGATGCCACACTTGTCTGATTCCTCTGCACTACCAATATAGAAGATGATTTTTAGACCTGCCTTCTCAAAAAAGGATTTAAGGAGCCTTCGCTGCACACATAATGCCTGCCACGTGATGGGTATCAGATAAGGTCTGTTGAATTGAAATTCAGGAAAGTTTACATAGACTGGGGGGATCAGATGGAACACGCCACGTCTGTGCTGCCCAGTCAGCACTCTGCTGCACTCATCTGTAATGCTGACAGACAGAATCCTGTCTTATTCATTAATTGTTGAACTCATGGCTTTCTAGACTGCTAAAGCAGACAGAAAATATAACCATTATCTAGCTCAAATGCTTCATGTTTTAATTGAAGACTCTCAGGTCCTGAAAATCAGAGCCAATGGCAGAGGCACCTATCTTGTGAATACCATGGGCTTGATATAACCTGAAAATCACCCCTGTCCACACCAGATATGATAAATAACTGTGTCCACAGGAAAGTCAGGGAGTCCTCAATAAAGATGATCCCCAAACCAAGCAGACAGTGTGAGCTAATGCTAGGATTGACCCTGAGGAGTTAAGGGCCTCATGGGCTAAATTTTTTTTTTTTTTTTTTTGAGACAGAGCCTCAAGCTGTCCTCCTGGGTAGAGTGATGAGGCATCACAGCTCACAGCAACCTCCAACTCCTGGGCTCAAGCGAGTCTTCTGCCTCAGTCTCCCAAGTAGCTGGGACCACAGGCGCCTACCACAATGCCTGGCTATTTTTTTTTGGTTGCAGTCGTCATTGTTGTTTGGCAGGCCCAGGCTGGATTCGAACCCGCCACCTTGGGTGTACATGGCTAGGGCCTTAGCCACTTGAGCCACAGGCGCCGAGCCATGGGCTAAATTTTTAAAGCCTGAGAGGACAGATGAAACTTTCTCAGTTCAAGTGAGGTGGGGGTGAGATCCCTGCACGAAGCTGGGGCCTCTAGAAGCATAGTAGAGACCAATATGACCATTAGCATCAGGAGGTAACATGGAAGTGTGTCTTAACTTGGACTCCAGGTGAAAAAGATAGATATCCCTTAAGAATCAGTAATCCTGGCTCAGCGCCTATAGCTCAACTGGCTAAGGCGCCAGCCACGTACACCTAAGGTGGCAGGTTCGAATCCCCAGCCCGGACCCGCCAAACAACAATGAC